TCTATCCGTTTATGGGATGTTAAGACAGGATAATAAAAAGCCAAATTAAAAGGCCATAAAGAGTCAGTTAGATCAGTCAATTTCTCTCCTGATGGTACTACATTAGCATCTGGTAGTTCAGATGAGTCTATCCGTTTATGGGATGTTAAGACAGGATAATAAAAAACCAAACTAGATGGTCATTCAAGGCAAGTTTATTCAGTAAATTACTCTCCCGATGGTACTACATTAGCATCTGGTAGTGCAGATAACTCCATCCGTTTATGGGATGTTAAGACAGGATAATAAAAAGCCAAATTAGATGGTCATTTAAGTTGTGTTAATTCAGTTTGTTACTCCCCTGATGGTACTACATTAGTATCTGGTAGTTTAGATAACTCTATCCGTTTATGGGATGTTTTGACTGGAAATGAGATTCTACCTCACAAAGATCTTCTTTCTTAGTTAGGATTGCCATTTTCAAGTCAATCCATTTTTTCAATTGGTATTTATATATGTTATTAATAGATCGTACAATATTAAGAATATGTCAAAATCCAATTTTGGAAGGATAAGGAGCTTTAATATTGAAAGGGGAATTTTTTGATTATAAAGGGTATGATTTGCGATCATTATTTAAATCTAAAGGAGGCTTGATAATTGAGGATAAACTATATTAAAAACATAATTGATAATATTAACAAACCATTAAAATATCCAATATCTATTCAATTTTCTTTTGTTTATTGCCAAAGTTCAAGTAAAATGTTGTCTAAGCTAAAAAGCTATAATAATTATATTATTATTTGTTAGTAAAAAATTAGTAATGTGTTGATTGCAAAATTCTTTTAACGAGAAAGAGATATTTGATTTTCAGAAAAACTATAATATATATATATCAATAAAAGCTTTTGCACCTTGTAGAAATGATATTATTATCAGTCAAAATTAAATCTTACTTAAAATGAATAGTTCTAAGCGTAAGCCTTATTAACTTAAAACTTTACTTTAACGAATTCGAATTTAGAAACAGTATTTCACTATTTTTACTTGTTCCTTTGGTTTAACGCTTTGTGGATTAAATTAACCCTTTACAAAATGAGTTTGATCTTCAAATGAAAATCTTTGATTTTTCATGATTTGATAAATATACAATGATTAAAGAATGTTCAACTAATTTAAGAGAACTATTTGTTATTTTGAACTCCGATTTTTTGGATAAATTTTAAATTAATTAAAAAGATTTTGTTGTGATGTCAGATTTGGCGGAGAATTAAATTGGAAGCCTCAAA